CTGCAGCTGGCCCTGCACCTATAGCCTCTGCCATGGATGACTTGTACTGTCTGCAGTCCGATGTCCTATCAGAGGACAAACGTCTGCAGTAGGTTGCCTCAGATCACACTTGCACTGCCTGAGACATGCATCCTGGTACGCTTTTGCTCATGGACCAAATGCGTATGACATGTGCTGAGACCAGGCATGAGAACCAGCTCTAAGTAACTACAACTGATATGGCTCTACAGGACATGGAGCAGGGCTGGTTCTGCACAGAGGACCTAGTTTGTCTGACTACTGTTTTGGTTTTTGATAGATGAGTCATGCCTGTGCTTGAGTGTGGCCCTTATAAGGTCTTGCTTCATGGCAAGTTATGGTTGACGGTGCAAATCACCCCCTGTTGCTGAACTTCTTGGCTATGAACACGTAGTTTGTTGCAGGACTTTCTTGCCCTTTTTCCCTAAAGTGCCAAATCTTTTATCCCCGCCAGAGATGTGTTGCTACTTTAAATCTTGGTCTCAAGGGCAGCTGATTTGTTCAGTCAGTGTGTCCGTGGGGCAGAGCAGCCTGGAATCTGCACATTGTGTCCTTCTGCTCCTTTCTTCCTTCCTCTTCACCCATGTTCCCTCAGCTCTAAAAATACAAACAGCACATTCGCTTACCACCTACCAGTGGGGTGTCAAGAAAAGGAATGAGTATTGGTGAAGGACTCTGAGACCCTTGAATGAGATGTGCCACAAGAAAGTGCTGTTATAACAAGAAGGTTGCAAGAGTCTACGTCCCATGTAGCGGGGAAACCTATGTCATTTCTGCAGTCCTTTCCCTCCTTGCAGTACTCGCATCTCTGGAGCTCAAGCGCTTCTTAGAGGTCAATGATAAAGTGGGTTTTGAAGTGTCTTGTTTAAAATGCTAGCAGCACCAGAGCTGAAGCAGGGCTTTTGCTCAAAGCATTTGAGGAAAAACACCTTCCCTTTCAGATGTAACTGAAGTAAGGATGGCTTTACTAAATGTTTTCTAGGGCTTTCTAACCCTTCTTACTCAGACTTGTGTAGTTAGGTTGAAATTAAAATCTCTTTCTTGCGTTTGAGAGGAAAATTATTGGCTTGGACTTTGCCCCAAACCCACTAAATTAGCAGTTAATATTGGTGGGACGGGATCAAATATGAAGGAAGCTCATTTTGTTTCAGATTTTTTCTTCTTTTTCAAAAATTTGAATTACAAATTGTGTTAATAAAATTCAATCCCAATTTTTCTTCTTGTTTCTATTATTTTTTAAAAAAGCCCCCTAAATTCCCTCCTCTTGCAAAACTCTGTTTTTGATGATAGAATGGAGGGAGAAAAAACCCACCTCATGTAGCCCTGATTATTGGGAATTCAGCATGTCAAGGGAGCAATATTGTGCTCAGTGTCTAACTATCGCAGTAGCATTTTTATCAGCCAGCACACTGGTTTACCTGCTGTGAGTAAAGCCAGGAGCATTTCTTCACAACAGCACTGAGACCCTGGGAGGTGTTCAGGCAAATTAAATCCCACAAAATACTTGTGCCTGAGGTTTTCTGCTGGCCCATTCTAGGTCACTGAAGGCACCTCTTGAAAAGGAAGTACCAAACACAGGGACTTGAGTGGAGATGAGGACCCCTGACTGTGGTCACCCAAGCCTCATCGTGGTCCCACTCACATCACTGTGGGTTTGGACTAGCCGTAGTGGTCCAGAAGCATCGGAAACAAATAGGGAGAACCTCAGTCTGATTCTCTGGGCTGCGTTTTTGTGCATCCTGGGGTATAGGGTATAGGACTGTGGTGTAGCTGCTGCAGTGAAGCCCTTTCTAACTCTTTTTATTGCCCGGAGAGACCAACTGGAGGCACAGGGAAGTTCCAGGCTGCCTCCCTTGCGTGCAGTCGGGATTGCTGGTGTGATATTATTATTACTTATTATTTCCTTTTAGGAGATTTTGCAAGGCCCTAGACCTACCTTTATGTTCAGGGTGGATACCTGGAGGCCCTTCAGTCTGTGAATGCTAAAAAGGCTTGCATTTGACGGTCCTACTGCCACGGGGCAGGCCCGTTGCGTGGCCAGGGGGTCCCTCCAGCTCTGCCTCCCTCCCTGGTGTTGCCGCTTCCCCCCTTCTCAGAGCCATCATGGCTGCTGCCACTTACTGTAGTGTCCTTTCAGAAATATTGAACTGCCCTTTTGTTCCCAGAGAAAGATCGAAATTAGGTGAGGGTTGAAAGGGCTTATCAGTAAGTCAAGGTAGAAACAAACAGGTACATGGCCAGCATGTTGCAAGTGTCCCCAGAGCAAATGCTCTAAGCCCAGGAGTTTCAGTTAAGATATTGTTCAAACACTCAACAGCAGCATTTCTGTATGTTGCAACATAGAGAAAGGAGCATCAGTCTGGGGGGGAGGGAGAAGCCTATAAGCTTACTGTATGCGCAGTGTCGTAAGAGCGTTCAGCTCTGTTTCAGACATTGCGCCAAACTAAAGAATTGGGGAAAAAAGGCTCATGCAACATGCCATGTATCGTAACCATTCAAAAAAGCTCTTAAACCTGTTAAGTCCCTGTTAAGTCCCTTGAAAAATCCACTGATTTCTCACAGAGTGAGTATAGTGTATTTCAGGCATAATAAAGCAGTCAAATCTGTTAAAGTGTAAAGCTCAGCTTAACCTTCCCTTTAGCACTATGACTAGTGCCCCTGTAATTAACAAATGAGAAATATTTCACTGGGATCTACAGCTATAAATCAGATCAGTATTTCCATCAATGCACATGCTGAAGCTTCTGTATCTGTCTGTTTTGACTCTCTCAGATGCTACCAGCTTCAAACCTTCTACTTACTGAATTCTTCAAAATCTGAAAAAACTTCTGCAGCACAAGAAATTCTTCTTTCTCCACTGTTTTGAACTCTACTATCATCTTTTTAATGCAGACATTTATTTTGCAACCACGGTCAGAAATCTTGGGCTTTTTCCTCCCCAGGTTCTCTGTCTCGAAATCAGCTTATCGCTATTTCTGCAAATATTGCCAAAATTTATCCTTGCCTTGATCCTTCCTTGGGAGGCATGCTTATTCAGGGCTTAATCACTTGCTGATGAATTTCCTGTCATTCCTCCTTTTACCGGCTTCCTAAATCCCACTGGAGAGATTGCGATCTCAGGACTGTATCAGGAGTAACTGTTGACATCTCTGATAATTCCAGCACACATGAAGAAGAACTGAGCCCCAAATTCTGACTAGAAGGGCTTCAGATTAGAGATGGCTAGAGAATTGCTGAATATTTCCACTGTGGTGAGACCTGCAAGAGCTGTTTCTACACAAGTCAGCAGATACTGCCACTTCGCTGCAGTGAATAGTCCTGTTTTGTGCCTCCAGGAAAAAAAATATTATGAGATTGCAGTTCTGTGGTTGTTTTTGAATTTTCTGTTGTTCATCTTAAGTCAGGATGAAAATAACTTTTTGATTTTTCTCTCCACAGCTATGTTTTTCTAGATAGTCCCAGCTACTTAACACAGGTTTGCTCCAATTGGTATTAAAGTAAGAACTGTGTCTGGTTATGCTGTATTCATCATAATAGTATTTAAAGACAGTGCAACTAATGTTTTGTCACATCTCCCTAGCCTTAACTTTCTAAGTAAACTAAGAATTAAAGCTGATTTTTGTCTGATTTTTCCCCCCAACTTTTCTTGCTTGAAATAGTTTCCCATTTATTTTAATCAGTGAAGAACACTGTAATATTTCTCCAGTAACTGTTCTCAGCTACTCTCTGTCATGCCATTGCAAATCCTCACAGCCTTTATGCAGCATCTTCTCTTTACTAATTTTTCTTTTACTCTGCCCTTTTGCTATTTTGTCCTTTCTGTGCCTAGCTTTATAAAGTCTATTCCATATCTGTGGAAAGTCTTGTGACGCTCTGTAAAAAGACGATATATGAACAGCAGTCTGAATTGTGGCATAATTCTGAAGTCTAGATGGCCTCACGGTCCTGGAACTCACTGATGGGAACGGCCCTGTTAACTGACTGCGAACCTAGTCCTGCCACTGCTGTTGCCCCAGCAGTCTTGGCTCTGCACCAGAACACCGTTGTTCCTTTTGTTCTGTCTCATACAAAATGAGATGGTGAAAAAGGAGTAGCTGGAAAATATGTTCTCGCACTGAGAAGCGCAGCACTGCAGCAACCTGAATTTTGCTGGTCCTGAAAGGGATGTGATCCCGGAGCGCCACACCTGCCTAGTTCCCCTGCAGATTGCCCTTTAGGAATGCTACCCTGGGGAAGGGAGAGAGCGGGTCATTTTCTCTTCTCATTCATTCGCTCTTTTCATTTCGGTTTCAGTTCAGCGTTCTTCATTTGGGTATTACGCGTTTCGATATGCTTTCCACACATCACAGAGCTTCCAGAATGGCTGAGAAGGCACTCTGCTTGCAAAATTGCACCGGGGATTTGAACATTTGTCTCTACATGCCATTCACTCACTTCTTATTTACCTCCTTTCTTACACAGAAAGCTTTTTGATGAGGTTTCCTAGATTCTTCTATAAGATGCCTTTAAGTGTGAGTGAATTTCACTGCAAATGAGGGACTGTACAAGTTAAAGAATTATTCAGAATGATTAGACCATCTATTAGCTCTGTAAACTGAAGAATGGAAACTCCATTGGACAAAAGAGGCAATTAAGGCACTAGTAATCTTAGCGATATTTGTCAGCAGGCTTCTTTATATTAACAGATTTTGAATGCAGTTCAAAGACTGCTACATACTGTTACTTTGTGTTGCACTGGCATTCCTTTCTCCGTTCCCTGCCTGCACACTGCTCCTGAAGCAATACATCTTCGGGCCGCTAAGTGTCTCATCTGTGCATTTTATGCAGCTCCAATTATCCAGGATTACACGCGTTCTTTCTCATTTCCTTTGCTCCTCCTTCACCTTCCTAAAATTTGCTGTTAGTTGACCTGAGCTGGGCGTTGCAGACCCTGACCAATGGCGGGTAGCGCGCAGTGCTTGTTTGCATTTATTTCCTGCTTCAGTGTGTGAGGTGTAATCTTTTTACAGGAACTCAGGGGAACTGAGCGATGTGGAAGTATCTCTGAAGAGCTGCAGAGCTGAAATGGAAACTAAATCATTTATCGGAGTAAGTAGAACAACGAAAAAGGGAGAGAACAATCTTTCCCTCTTGAGAACAAAATAACAGGTTGTAATGTAGATCAGAAATGTTGCAGCCCTTTTCACAGCCAGAAATGCAAGCTGCTAGCTGGATTCTGCAATATTAAAAATGCTTCTAGTTAGTATATGCTTTTGCCTGTATGTTCGGTGAGACTGGCAATTTGCTCTTCATTGTGGCAGTTCATTTAACTCACATGAAAATGTTTCCTGTAATTACTGTGACATTACTTAGTTGCTAGGTAGGCTGCAGAAAATGTTTTAATTATGTCATCAAACATTCATTAATCATGTTTTCCTCCTGGAATTGTGTGGCATTTGGCTATCACCCAGTGCTTAAGGCACTTGAAAGGGCCTGGAGGGGACTGTGTGTGCAAGGTGCGCTTTGGACATGACCCTCACCTGGGACAGATCCCACCCAATGTTCTTGGCTTCCTGAAGTTAAAGGACGGGGCTCTATGTCAATGATTGTTAGTTTATTTGCACGTTTACATATTTTACTTGTTTATTGTTTGTGTCCCAGTAGCAGCCTCAGAGCTTAACCAGTGTCTGCACTTAGATCACCTAGGGTCAGGACTGAAAGCAGGCACCACCTCTGTAGGAGGGAAGGTAGTTAATCACGGCAACAACATAGACGGTGGAATTGCCATCAGTTTCCCAATCTGGAAGATGGGAATAAAGACTCAGTTCTCCTTAGCAGAGTTTGAGATTTACTTGTAAAAAGAGCTAATTTACAGTTGTAATTTCATCCCTCCAGGCAAGCCTGGGTTTCTCCCTAAAAGATATGCTGCATCTGAAACAAAAGGTAGCAGCTCAGTTTGGAAACAGCAGGGTGAGGATTTGGGACTTGTATTACGCAAGGGATCAGACCCAAATCTGACCAGATCAGTTTTGTGCAGGACTCAATAAGCAACAGCCCTGTGGCCCAGTGCATCACCTATGGCTGCTGGCCCCAGCATACTGGGGAGGAAGCTGGGAAGAGAAGAAATGAAGCTCTTGCGTTTCTGTTTTTGCAGGTTTGGTCTCGCAGAACGCTCTTGCCGTTTCTGCTCTGTGCTGGTTTTCCCAGGCTTGGCAAGATGCTCCTCACGTTCCTCAATTAAGGGCTGGTGCCTACGTGAGGTGTCCTGGTCCCACAGAGGTCAGGGCAGTGACAGCAGCTCGCACCAGCTGACAACCTGCTTCCTGTAGTTTTCTGCCAGGTAATGCCGAGGGGTCAGTTCTACCACCTGGCAAAGCTGATCTCATGGCTCACTGCTTCCAAAAGGGCTCCCTCCCCACTCTTGGGTCATCCTCAGTATGGGCCAGCGCTGGAGCTTTCCTAACTGGGTGACAAAATAGTATAAGGGACTAAAATGGCAGAAAAACAACACTTTTTTTTTTTCCCCCCTGTAGGGGACTTAGCCTTTTTGAACTGGCTCATGAAGAGTCAATGGGAAACCAATGCTGGATGACAGGAGGAAGAGTGATGTTTCATAAAGGCATTCTTGGAGCACTGCCCATGCAAAGTGGCTTATTCCATGCCGAGGGCTGTGCTGAGCACACCTGGCCAGCAGGGCTTACTGGGGCACCCACTTCTCACTGAGAGGCTGCGTACCTGCTTTGGGGTACGTAGGCGGTTTTGGGTTACAGGAATGAGGCAGCCTGAAAGCCTCTGGAAAGGGAGCCCAAGAGAACTGCAAAAGAACCCACTACTTGTAGTTAGGCTTCTTACTCGTGTACAGCACCTACACGAATATTGTCATATGCTGGAGTATTGCATCCTCACGCTTCCTATTGGCTTTACAGCTGGAGAGGGAGAAAGACAAACTGATCTTTTACAACTGCTAAATAGTAATGTTATTTTAAGCTTCTCCAGCCCTTCTCTGCTCTGATGCTACCTGGTACTTAGATTAGAGCATAGTGGCCCTGGGAGAGGACTAGTGCGCAGTCAGAGGCAGCACAAAACATAGGAAAAGGGGACAAGATTAGTTGCACTCTTCTGTTGTTGGAGCAAGGAGTCTTCAGAACGCAGAAACCTGGCATGTGTTAAATTACACAGTTAGAAGAAGGCCAAGTTGATCTACCTGTGATTTGAACTTGTGCTTCCAAGAAGAGTAAGGATAAGATGTGACATGTAGAGATCATTCGCTTATGCAGGATAAAGGGATCTGCTTTTTTGTTGTTGTTGTTAAATAAACCCACGGGATTTTTTCCTCTGGGCTTTGCACTAGGCCCATATCTGCTCTTTAGGGAGCAAGACATGGTTTAAACTTCTTTCCTGCCTGTGCAATGGTCTTGTGCATATGCATAACCTCTGAGCTAGCTGCGGTTCACCAGGAGGAAGTCCTCAGGTTGCATCCAGGATGCATGTAGGCTGTGTCACAGCACCAGGGATGTGCGAAGGAATGTCCTGATGTCCCAGGCATGGTCACTCTGGCCACAGCAGACTGTGGCACACCAGCACTTCTTGAAATGTCTCCAGAGGATGTTATAACTTGTAGTTGCTCATCTGCTTAGCAAAGATGGGAGAGCTGGCAGGGACACAGGGCTCACTGTCTCCACTATTACTTGTCCCTGTGCTCTCAGTAAGACGCAAACATGCACTATGGTCTAGGGACTGCTCCTGCAAGCCGATAGGGGCAGAAGCCTGTACATCCTTGAACAGCATCACATATAGCATGTATTGTGCCTTGCTGTCCAGTTTGTTGGAAGTGCTTTCATATAGGGTGGTAAGCACAAGCACACTGGGATAATCAGGAAATGGTGTCTGCTCTGGAGCTTCCTACTGACCTCAGTGAGGTGCTACATTCATTTGCTCAAAGGTGACTTCCAGTCATTCTAGCTTTGCCCCGAGCGCTGTATGCCTAGTTGATGTTGAACACAGGTAAATGGAAGCATGTTGCTAGGATTTTTTGATCAAGTCGTTGCTGTTTCCACTTCTTGCGCTAATCAATGTCAGATTCTCTTTGGTCCTGTGGAGATTCCTTGAGGCTGAGCTAATGTTATCAATCACATGCATGACCATGTTCCAAGAGATGGTGTTGGGTGGTTGTTGTGGCCTAGGTAAAAAGATCATTGTCAGCCCTTGGGAAACCCCAAACTCCCACTCTGTTGCCTGCAACCACACCACTGGTAGCTGTAGAGATTTGGGATCACTGTGGCACAGACCTTCCAAGCTGAGATTCCCTCAGTAAATGGCTCTTTCTTCACAGGTTTAAGTAAGTCACAGTTTTTCAGTCCGCCTAGTACAGGCAGGTCTCTTCACCTTCAGGAGAAGATCCTTAACCTGTAAGCAGGGTAGCTGGACATTTTCCTCGGTCTACATTATCCCATTTTTATCTTAACTAGGGCGGCTGTACTCAGAAAGACCAATCCAAAGCTATGCCAGAGGCACAGCAAGGCAGGCTGGATCGGTGACATGGTGGCAGGTTGCATCTCTTCTGTGTGATATGCACATAAAACTTAGCAAAGCAATTCCTAAAGTTACCTTTCAGATGCTCTGATGCGATTGGCACTAAATCTATTACACTGCATTTAAGGAAAACACAGGTTGTTCATCTAAACAGTATGGGCCATTTCTAATCCAGGAATAACCAACAGCCTCCCAAATGCAGCCCAAAGAACATTTTGGGAAGAGGAAATCGTAAGAAAGAG